TAGCCGGGACAACTTCTTTATGTTTACAGAAGTGACGTAATGACGCAGTGGCATGATCGAATTTCCCACGAAAACCTACCCGTACCACTCAAATTATAAAACATTATTATAAACTGACCGTTGTGAATCGGGCTAAAGTAAGCCGATAGTTTTGAACACTGGCTGGTTATGTACTTGCTCAAATATTGATTTCGGATAATTTTTAACCAAAAAAAGTTACGGACTGCAGCTTTAAAGTTAACTATAATAGTCCTAACACAGTTGCTCTGCGGCACGACATGTCAATTCCCAGCTCAACCAATGCGCGACTTTGGGCAGGGACTATGTTTTTGTCTGAAAAGTGGTAGATGGGAGTAGATTTTCGAAATTCCATTTGGCGCCGCCAATAGTGCATAAATTACACACTGCAGTTTTAATCCGACAGACTTCTTGCTTTTCCTTTTAAGCGGCCAATCCACAAACAGCATTATTTAGGCTGGATGTCAAAAATGCTCTTAGACACTTCCACACACCCACGCTTGAGCGTAAACCTACATCAGCATCATTAAGCATGCAGTGCAAGATAAACCGAGGCCTTGGGATTTAAGGATGACACTATTCCGGTGTGAAATTACTGCAAAAGACTTAACATTTCACAAATACTGTGCTCTGCTATGCCTTTACAATCAGCCTAGCTAATGAATGCTGCTATTAAGCCGAACAATGACTGCTGATAAAAGGCATGTTTGGAAATTGTCTGCAATCCTGCCTCCGCTGAATTTCAAATACACTGCATTTGTTTGTACTTTCAAGTCATTAAAAACGACATATTTTTTCACAATTTTACACTTTCGTACTCAAGACTGTCAGGGCCACTGTTGTGTTGACCAGTCCCTCAGAGTTAGATGCCAAGCATGTATAGTTTCCTGCATCGCTCGGCATTATGGGGAGTATCCGTAAGCCTCCGGACTCCAGCAGAGTGAAACGAGGCATCTGCACCGATCCGCTCGCTAACACCTGAGAACCTGCAAGATTCACAGGGTTTAGTCACTGCTTACAAGTTTAACGTGTAACCGTGTAAATGACATGCAAAGGAGCGTGAATATAATCTAACGTACCTTTCCTCCAAACAATGGCAGGTTTGGGGGCACCGGATGTCTCACAGGTGAAGACAGCTGACGTTCCATCAGTCACAGTGATGTCAGAAGGGGGCGTGGTGAAAGATGGCGACACGCCTACCATAAAAATGAGTCAGTAAAAGTGAGTCAGATAACTGAAAATCAAAGAAATATAGAGGTCATAAGGGTGAATATGCATCCTCTTTTTCTGGAAATTGTCTGGCCAGGATTTCTAAATTGCCTAGAATGGGAGGATGAATCAGGACTGAAAAGTAGTTCAGTCGCATGCAGGCATTGTACATAATAAACCAATTGTGGTGTGCAAGAAGGTGGGGTCTACAAAACGCTTAAAGAAATGCAAATACACAAGTCCAAGATTACTAAGATCACTATAAAGAGCATGTCATTAGGAATAAATAATGTATGGTCACCCTAGCCAATAAGAATTTGGACACTTTAAAAATTAAGAATGTCATTGCATTAGATAAAATACCAAACTTTTCAAGCAAAACTTAGGATTTAATTAAAACAACTGATATACTGTTCAAACTTGTCCTTAAGTGTGGCAAATATACTTTTTAAAACAAATATTCCATAACAATATGACCCCCAAAAAGCTGTATGCATAAATATGATTAAATTTATAAATAATTTATTTAATGTAACCTACTCTAACACATAGTAGCTTATAATGGTGGAATACAATTTATTAACACGTTATTTTTGTGACAATATTTAAAATCTCAAGGGAACTCTTAAAAATCATTTTTGAACTTAAAACTTCTAAATAATTTTGAAATGGAATGACTTCCATTTGTGTTTACTTCAGGAGTTAATGAATTCTAAGAAACCAAAAAAGGGTACCCTAGAAGTTTGATGTTAGTAAGATTTTATAATAATAATAATAATAATAATATATTTTTTTAATAATTACAAAAATATACTTTTATAAATAAATGTTGCATTAAATAAATCAAAAGTGACAGTAAAAATTTTTAGAAATGTTTTCTATTTAAAAAAAATGCTGTTCTTTTTAACTTTCCACTGATAAAAGAATCCTGGAAAAAAAGTTACTTAAACCCATGACCTTAGCATTGCTAGAGGAAGGTTTTGTAATAATAAAATAATTAGTAAATTGTAAAATTAATCAACTGTAATAATATTTCACAATATTTTACTGTATTACGCTTGAAGCAATAGTTCACCCAGAAATTAAAATTCTGTCATCATTTACTCACCCTCATGTTGTTCCAAAGCCATATTACTTTTCATTTCCATTGGAATGAAAAAAAATAAGTTTTTTAGGAAGAATTCTGTGTCCATATAATGAAAATATATGGTAACTAGCACCAAAATAAATTCAAAATGTCTTTGTGCTACACAAGGCCTCTCAGTCATTCAGGTTTGGAACAAAATGTGGGTGAGTAAATGATGGCAGTATTGCATTTTTTGGTGAAATGTTCCTATAGCTGTTCATCTTACTTGTGACGACCAAGTTGGTATATGCCTGTATTTCTCCGGCCGTGTTTTCAGCGAAGCACTGGAAAATTCCAGCATCGTCCGGTTGAATTCTCCGCACTTGCAGAACCATTGAGGAGGAGGTGAGTTTGTATCGAGGGTTGTTCAGTGTGGAGAGGGGGACGGCATCTTTGAACCATTCCAGCTTCGTTGTGGGAACCCCTGAATAATACTATAGATATATATATATATAGTATATATAAATGTTTGTGTGTATATATAAGTAAGATTTTTTTATGCTGTATTTATTTGATCAAAAATACAGAAAAAACATTAAAATTTATAAATATTATTCCAAATTGAAATATAGTTGTTTTTTTTATTATTTGTTTTTATTGTAATATCCTTTGAAATATAATTTATTTCTGCGATGCAAAGCTGAATTTTCAGCATTATTACGCCAGTCTTTAGTGTCACATGGTCCTTCAGGAATCATTCTAATCTGCTTATCAATGTTGGAAACAGTTGCTTAATATTAAATTATAATAATAATAAATTGACCCTCTGACCCTCTAACTCTAGTGTTCCCTATTCTTTTTCTATTCTATCTACTTGTTTTCTTTTTATTTACTATACAAATGACCCTCAAACACTAGCAGTCTCTATTCTTTTTCTATTATGTATGCATTAAAATAAAAAAAATAAAAATATATCATGCTTTCCACAAACATTTTAAGCAGCAAATTCTGATTTCAACACAACCATTTTTAAAGGGGTCCATATGATGCGATTTAAATTTTTCCTTTCTCTTTGGAGTATTACAAGCTCTTGGTGCATAAAGAAGATCTGTAAAGTTGCAAAGACTTGAGTCTCAAATCCAAAGAGATATTCTTTATAAAAGTTAAGAGTCAACCACGGCTACCTAAAACGGCTCGTTCTAACACGCTCCCATATGGCTACATCACTGTGTGGGAAGATTTGGATAACACCGCCCAAATGTTCACGCAAAGAAAGAAGGCGTAACTTTTATTCTCGCGGTAGTATTGTTGTTGCCGCCACTGCCAGGTTGTGAAGGCGCTGTGTGTTTCGTTGTGAAAGCGAAACTACTTTGTTTGGCCTTTCAAAAGAGGACGATATCCGCT